ATCATTGTAACAATTTCCTTTCACACATACCCCATAATTCATCATTTTTCAATTTTGGCCATAGTTAGCCATATGAAACTTAAAACTATTGATAAAGCAACCTTTAAAACATCTAACCATGCATCCAAGGCCATAAGCTATTTCAATTAGATGACGATCAATATCGTTATTTTGTTCTCCAACCTATTTAATTGTAAAACAAAAAATTTTGATCATTATTTTTAATATGCAATAACATTAAATTTCTATTCACATATGTTATTATGTGCTAAAATCTTACAAATTTTCTTAGCATTACATTTTTTTTTCCAATTTTGCATCACTTATATTCACAAAATCTCTTCTCACCAATTCATTAAATATCCTATCATTGTTAATTACAAATTAGAAAAATTATGAACTTACTAGAAAAATAAATTATGAAGTTCACATATTACTTAATGTAAAAATTTATCTTTTCATAATTCAACAAAACATGCAAGTGTGCCTTGGTATGCTTATTGGTAATAGCCATCAAGACTTATCTTATCGATCAAATGCTCGGTCAGGATGACTAAAAATTGAAAAACATTCTCTAGATTCTACAACTCCCTCATCATCATTATGTGAAACTCGATCAATCTTGTTGACATATTTAGATCAAAATAAAATGAGCAAAAAATTAATATCTCTTTGATAACATATGCCTCACTTATAGATGCTTCAATAAAGGCTCGATTGGTGTATTTTTTATTGAGATAATGATAAAACCTACTTATCATGATATCATAACGCAAATTTATTGAAGGAAAAGATAATTAATCAACATTAATATCTAACAACTGAAATATATTACCTTTCAAATGGATACATCTATCGATAATGAACAAGTCCACCAATTTTTGCCTTCTTAAGCAAGTGAATATGCATATGCCTTATAAAATCAAAGAAATTTAGAGGAATTTTTTTTCTAATTTGCAAATTATTTCTACAATATTTGCTTCTAACACTTCTATGGTGTATAATTAAATTTCATAAATTTACCTCGAGTAGAAAAATTGGATTATAATAGAATTACAACTACGTTACAGATAAATGAAAGTAAAACTAAAAAAAAAAAAACTAATAAAGTTATTATTATTAATAGTAACAATAAAAGAAAATCTGAAATAATCCTAGTTTGTGTTTACTTTGTAAATTCGCATACTTGCTTCTTTTCTATTTACATTCTGCTTTTTGAACATTGTTAAAATTAAAAAAAGTAAAAGCATAATCGTTAATTAATTAGAAAAATAACAACAATTAAAGTTTAAACAATTCTAAACATAACTATTATTCTATACAAAGATCATTACATTTTTGTCCAAAAAAAAAAAATGCATTTTAATTTAAAAAATATATAAATGATTTATTTGTATAATAAACATTATTTTTTCTTATATCTTCAAGAAAAAAAAAAAAAAATACAAACAACCAAAAAAATAATTTACGTAATTAAATTGATAACGTAATTAAATAATTAAATTGATAACATAAAAAATTATTATTATAAATAAAAAGTAATTTTAAATCAAAAAATAAGTGTTAATGTAAAAATTTAAAAAAAATAAAAATAATCATAAAATTAATATCATTTAACATCGTAATATCTTAATAAAAAGTTATGATAATTTTAAATAAAATAAAAAGTAAGAACAAGCGTAATAAAAAATTAAAGTAAATAATTAACTTCACAATGTGAAAAAATTGATATTTTTAAATTAAAAAATTCTAAATAAAAAAATTGTTAACGTAAAAAGATGAAAATAATCGTAAAATTCATATCATTAAATATAAAATGAGTTTGAAAATGTCTTATTCTAAAAAAAAAATTTAATAATTCTAAATATATTGTTAAAAAAGATATAAAAATATATTATTAAATGTAATTAATTAAGTTGATTTTGTAAAATAAATTGATATTATAAAATTAAAAAGTATATCATTTTTTATTTGTTAAATTAATAAATTAAATAAAATTATATATAATTTTTTTAATGTTTACTTGTTAACATATTCTTTTTTTTTTTAAAAAATTATATTATTCTCATAAGTTATCATGATATATCATGAGATATCATGATATCTCATGACCTTAGAATAAGGACGATATATTATAATCTAACCGTAGACAAACCCAAAAATTAAAAATGTAGAGAAAAATATTTTACTTTTTTAATAATTGAAAATTCATTTAATAAGTTATTCACTTATATAGCATGCCATAAAATAGAGTAAAAAATGCATAATATTCAAATCCCGTCTATGTCGGTTTTATTCAAATTTTATGTTAAATTAATTTAATTGTGTTTTAATTTGATTATTTAATAATTTATATATATAAATCATACCCCATAATTCATCATTTTTCAAGTTTGGCTATAGTTAACCATATAAACTTAAAATCATTGATAAAGTAACATTTAAAACACCTAACCATGCATCCAACGCCATAAGCTATCTCGATTAGACGACGATCAATATCATCATTTTGTTCTTCAACTATTTTTAATCGTAGAACAAAAAAATTTGATCATTATTTTCAATATGCAATAGCATTAAAATTTCTATTTACATATGGTATTATGCGCTAAAGCCTTACAAATTATCTTAACCATTGTAGGAATCTAGCATCACATTCTATTTCCAATTTTGCATCACTTATATTCACAAATTCTCTTCTCATCTATTCATTAAATATCCTATCATTGTTAATTATGAATTAGAAAAATTGTGAACTTACTAGAAAAATAAATTATAGAGTTCACATATTACTTAATGTAAGGATTTATCTTTTTATAATTTAACAAAATATATAAGTGTGCCTTGATATGCTTTTTCGCTAATAGCCATCGAGACTTATCTTGTAGACCAAATGCTTGGCCAAGATGACTAAAAATAAAAAAAGTTCTCCAGATTCTACAACTCTTCCATCATCATTACGTGGAACTCGATCAATCTTGTTGACATTTTTAAATCAAAATAGAATGAGCAAAAATTGGATATCTCTTCGATAACATATGTCTCACATATAGATGCTTCAACAAATACTCGATTAGTGTGTTTTTTTTGAGATGATGAATAAACCTACTCATCATGATATCATAACACAAATGTTATTGAAGAAAAAAATAATTAATCAATGTTAATATCTAACAACTGAAATATATTACTTTTCAAACGGATACATCTATCGATAATGAATAGGTCCACCAATTTTTGCCTTTTTAAGCAAGTGAATGGGCAAATGCTTCATAAAATCAAAGAAACTTGGAGGAAATTTTTTTTTCCAATTTATAGATTATTTCTACAATATTTATTTCTAACATTTCCATGGTACATAATCAAATTTCATAAATTTACCTCAAAGAGGAACATTGGAGTATGATAGAATTACAACTATGTTATAGATAAAATGAAAGTTAAAAAAAACAAAATAGAAACTAATAAAGTTATTTATTATTAAAAAGAAAGAGCTAAATAAAGGCCTAATAGAGGTTCATTGTGTTGTTGCTCTCGCAGCTTGCTTCTTCTGGCTTTGCTATTTGTATTCTGCTTCTTGAAACATTGTTAAAATGTAAAAACAATGGTAAAAGGCATAATCATAATTAATTAGAAAATGAACAAACAACTAAAGTTTAACACCAATTCTAACATAACTATTATTCTATATAAACATAGAATCAAACATTTTCTTGTCCAAGAAGAAATGCATTTTTAATTTTAAGAAAAATATAAATGATTTATTTTGTATCCAAACATTTTTTTTCTTTTTGCTTCAAGAAAAGGAAAAAAAAAAAAACTAGCAAGAGCAACAAGCAAAAAATAAGTGTTGACGTAATTAAATTGATAACATAACTAAATAATTAAATTGATAATGTAAAAAATTATTATTATAAATACAAAAATTTCAAACCAATAAGTGTTAATGTAAAGATGTAAAAAAAGTGAAAATAATTATAAAATTGATATCATTTAATATCGTAATATCTTAATAAAAAATTATGATAATTCTAAATAAAACATAAAGTAAGAACAAGCGTAACAAAAAAATTAAAGTAAATAATTAACTTGACAATGTAAAATAATTGATATTTTTAAATTAAAAGATTCTAAATAAAAAAATTGTTAACGTAAAAAATAAAAATAATCGTAAAATTCATACCATTAAATGTAAAATGAGTTTGAAAATGTCTTATTCTTTAAAAAAATTTTAATAATTCTAAATGTAATGTTAAAAAAATATAAAAATATATTATTAAATGTAATTAATTAAGTTTATTTTATAAAATAAATTGATATTATAAAATTAAAAAGTATATAATTTTTTATTTGTTAAATTAATAAATTAAATAAAATTATATATACTTTTTTAATGTTTACTTGTTAACATATTTTTTTTAAAAAAATTATATTATTCTCACAATTTATCATGATTCATGAATATCATGATATCTCATAACCTTAAAATAAAGTCGATATATTATGATCTTACTATAGACAAATCCAAAAATTAAAAATGTAGAGAAAATATTTTTTTTAATAATTGAAAATTCATTTAATAAGTTATTCACTTATATAGCATGCCATAAAATGGTGTAAAAAATGCATAATATTCAAATCCCGTCTGTGCCGATTTTATTCAAATTTTATGTTAAATTAATTTAATTGTGTTTTAATTTGATTATTTAATAATTTATATATATATAAATATAATAATTTGTACTTAATTTCATATAAAAAATCTCTTATCTCTTTACAAATTTATTGATGTTATATCATAAATGATTGAATAAATTAATTAAATTTAAATTTTAAATTTATTTAATAGAAATTTTACACATCAACATTTATATATAAACAAATTATTATATAGTAAAAATAAAAAAAAATTAGATAATAATTCTTAAATCTTAACTAATTATTTTATATTAAGAAAAAATAAAAAAAAAATCTTTGGAAAAAAATGCTCACTGTACGAAATCAAAAATTAAAAAATGAAAAATCGGGGCATTTGTCAACGTATATTAGAGAGACGGGCTGAAACAAGAAGGAAAGATCGAAAGTTCAACTTACTCAGTCGTTACGCATAAAGGTAAAGTAATTGCCATCACTTTTTCATTTAGTTTTCAAAGCTCCCTGGGCTCGTTTACTTGATCTCTTCAATTTCGGATCATCAACAACTGTAAGCAAACAAAAAACTTTTAAATTTCCTTTTTATAAATTTTCTATGATTCTTTTTTTTTTTTTTTTCTGATTTTGAATTTGACGCATTTAGAATCTACGTTTAGCTGACCCAGCAGTTGACTTCATGAACTTTTTCCTTTTTTTGCGATTTTTGCCATACATTTTCTTAGTAGTTAAGCCAGGCCTTTAACTATTTTCATGTTAAGCTTGTCAAAGTTTAAATTTTTGGGGCTTTAAAGGTTTTAAGGAATTGGGTGTTCGTTGATTTTTTTTATGTACTTTTGCACCAATTTTTTTTTTTTTTTTGTATTTTAACTGCTGCTACAATAGTAGGGAAAATGATATTTACTTTTAATTGTTTGATTTATTTGCTCTAAATTAGGTATTGAATCATCAAGTTGTTTAATTTTTTGGAGGTTTTGAAGTTAATGTTTTGATAATGAGATTTTTTTTTTTTTGAAGATTTGGAAATTAGGGTTCTTTTTTTTTTGGGGGGGGGGTTTGAAGAACTTTGATGCTATTGAAAATTGTTCTGATAAATTTTTAGGTTTGCATTAAGTTCTGCTGGGTACATCATAGGGAAGAAAGTGAAAGAAGCAAAACCAGATATTTGAGTGCCGTAATTAACAATGATGGGGCATATCATAGTTATTTCTGTTTAATTATTTCATAATATTTTTGTTAGTTTGAGGCTTTTGGGATTTGTTTCTGGGAAGACATTTTATGTTAAAAGTTCTGGCCCCTAGGATGGATGCATTCAAGTGTTATTTCTTTGGACTTTTCTAAGGTTTTTTGTGGAGATTTGTTGAAGATATTGTTTTGGTGTTTTGAAGGTTTGGTGAAAATGGATAAAAATTTGATGGACAAAGTTAGTGCCTTTGGTGAACGCCTCATGGTTGAAGGAGCTGAGGTGGGCAGAAAGGTGAGTGCTGGCATGAGCTCAATGAGCTTTAAGGTGAAGGAGCTCTTCCAAGGCCCGAACCAAGCTGATAAGCTTGTTGAGGATGCCACCTCAGAGGCCCTTGATGAGCCTGATTGGGCCTTGAATCTTGATATCTGTGACATGATCAATCACGAAAAAGTGAGCAGTGTTGAATTGATCCGAGGCATAAAGCGGAGGATAATGTTGAAGAGCCCTAGGGTTCAATACTTGTCCTTGGTGTTGCTTGAAACTTGTGTCAAGAATTGTGAGAAGGCATTCTCGGAGGTGGCAGCTGAGAGGGTTCTTGATGAGATGGTTAAGCTAATTGATGATCCTCAGACTGTTGTTAATAATAGGAACAAAGCTTTGATGCTTATTGAATCATGGGGGGAGTCAACCAGTGAGCTTCGCTATTTGCCTGTTTATGAAGAAACTTATAAGGTAACATCATATACTTGTTATCTGGTTTTCTGCAAGTGTGAAAACAAGTTGAGAAAATATGATTGTTTAATTTCATTCACTTGATTTCCTGTGGTGTGTTTCTGATTGAAAGTTGTCTAACTTTAGCAATAACGGTTGTGTGAAATTTACTCCTTTGGTTTCTGTTCGAACTGTAGTTCATTTAGCCTGCAAATCTTCACCAAATCATTGAATTGGTTTTCTACTTTTCAATAAAAAGGAGCAAATTTTTTAATTGTTTGTTTGGTTTAGTTGATTAAAATCATAAGATCAATTTAGAAAATACTTAGACAAGCTTTCTTCAACAACTGAATTCTTGACCAGGAACTTTTTGGGATATGTCAATGTCTCTTGAATTATTGTGCTTTGGGTTGCAATAGGATTTAATATGCAGGTCAAACATGTGGTACTATGTTGCTAAAACAGATAAAGCCTAATCTTTTGGCTTGTAGATTAATGAGTTTTGAGATTTTCTTGAATGGTCCTTTTTTCTTTTGTAGAGTTTAAAATCAAGGGGGATTCGCTTTCCTGGTCGTGACAATGAGAGTTTGGCACCTGTTTTTACCCCTCCTCGTTCGGTTTCAGCACCAGAGGTAGATGCTAGTCTTGCACAGCAGCTTCAACATGACATGCAGCTTCAGCATGATATTCCTGTCCAGAGCTTTACTGCTGAACAAACAAAGGAGGCATTTGATGTGGCAAGAAACAGCATTGAGCTTCTTTCAACCGTGTTATCCTCATCACCCCAACAAGATGCTCTTGAGGTATTATCTTTTTTCTTTTTGCACTTCTTAGTTTCTAACTTCATATGGATTACCAATAAAGTCTGCTTTCTTCTCTGATGCCAAGTAACAAAACTCCAAAAATATGAGTCTTGTCTGAATGAGTCATTAATGTGTTTTGTCTATCTGTGCCTTTGTTAAAGAATATTTAGTATTCTGTTGCGCATAATGAGCCTTTAATGTGCAAAAGATCATCTTGTTGTCAATAATTTTGCTTCTTGCTCCATTTTCAAGGAGGAAATTACTTTCTTTTTAGAGGTTTTAAATCTTTTACATCATCCATTTATGATCTTTATCATACGTGAAGGCTTATGGCTGATGAATATGACATTTTCCCCTCAATGATGAATATTGGTGAAAATTCTGATGGCTCCAACAGTACCAAGTTTTACTTTAAGAAGGCATTTGGTTTGGGAGAAAGTAATTTTCCTTCCCATAATCTTAATTTTTGTAATTTGATTCCTTGATTTGATTCACAAGAATATGATTGCTTGGGCTTTTTAAAATTCCAAACAATGTCAAGAAGGGGGAAAGTAGGGGAAATAAAAGCTTTCCTCTCCATGAGGTTTTTTAAGACTCCGGAGGGAAAGTGAAAATTTTTTCTCATTTGCCCTCAATTGCATTTTTAGATTATATAAACAACATTATTTATCTTAAAAAGATAGTAATTTTTTATAAAATATTATGAAAACAAGTTTTTACTTAATAGTATATTTTAAACAAAGATCACATTTTTAAGATAGTGCTATTGAAATCCCCACAAAAATTATGATTAAAAACACAATTTTTATTGAAAAGATAAAAAAAATTATTTTTTATAATTCAATAAAGACAATGTATATAAAATAAAAAACATGGTCTTTGTTAAAAATATGAACAAATTATTTTTCAAAATTCAACAACAACTACGCTTTTAAGATAAAAAAACACAGTCCTTGTTGAAAAGATTATATTTAAAAAAAATGTTGTCTTTATTGAAAAGATAATGTTTTTAAGATAAAAACATAATTTTTGTTAAAAGGAGACGATGTTTCTAAGATAAAAACATACTCTTTGTTAAAAACATGAATAATATATTTTTCAAAATTCAATAAAGATAGATGTTTTTAAGATAAAAATGTAGTCTTTGTTGAAAAGACAATGCTTCTAAGATAAAATTATTGAAAACATGAAAAATATATTTTTAGAATTTAATAAAAACGATGTTTTTGGGATAAAAACGTAAGTTTTGTTGAAAAGACGATTTTTTTAAGATAAAAAACACAATTTTTATTAAAAATATGAAAAAAAATAAAACGTAAATTATCTTGATTTAATATTATTACATATGAAATCTAAAATAAATTTACTTAATATTATTACACATAAAATATGTATATCTATTGAAAATATAAAAATTATTTTTCAGAAGATGTGTTATTTACATGTTATGTATTATTCACATACTAATATTATGAATGTTATGTGTTATTTACGTGTTATCAAGGATAATATAATAAAAATTTTATTATGTAATTTTACATTCACATGAACCAATTGTAGAAATCTTACATTCCCTAAGTCAACAAAACCTAAAAATCATACATTTCTCTTGAATATTACTTTCCCCCTAAATCACTTTCTCTCTCAGAAAACTAAGATTCTACGAATTACGAACTATTGGTTGTAAGTTGTATAGGCTTATATTTTGAGATCTTTTTCAATGGTGACCAACAGATGACATTTTCCATGGAGTTTTATTCCAGTTTAGACTCGTAACATAAAAAATGCTGTTGCAAACGGTCTTTAGTTGTTCTTGAGGTGGCAGCAAGGTCAATATGGTTCTGAACCTATTTGATAGAGTGCAGCTCTTATAAACATTTACAATTTGATGGTGCAGGAACCTTGTGCTGATTTAACCTTTTAAAATAAAATATATTTTTGCATTTCTATTATTCATATTGGTAGGAATCATATGAGATGAATCCCTTGGCCAGAAGGTAACAAAACAGGGAAAAACTCTAGCTTAGTATGTTGCTTTTTGTTTTTCTAGCAGTTTGTATGTTTACTCTATCAGTTTCTTTTGTTGCTAACTTTATCAAATCTGATTTGGGACATTGTTAAAATAAGAAATCCAAGAGGTTCTGATTTTACATAATTTTTACATATCCATGTCGTAGGAAGGCTGAATACCAGTGGAATCCTAGTGATTTACATTTGGTTTGTTGGCAGGATGACTTGACAACTACACTTGTCCGGCAGTGTCGTCAGTCCCAGTCCACTGTTCTAAGAATCATTGAGACTGCTGGAGATAATGAAGCTCTGCTTTTTGAAGCTTTAAATGTGAATGATGAGATCCAGAAAGCTCTCTCAAAGTATGAAGACTTGAAGAAGCCATCAGTAGTTCCTCATGAGCCAGAACCCGCTATGATTCCTGTGGCTATCGAGCCTGATGATTCACCCCGTCATGCAAAAGAAGATACCTTGATTCGGAAACCAGCAGGTACTCGACAAGGGACTCATGGGGAAACCAATGACGACATGATGGATGATCTCGATGAAATGATTTTTGGTAAGAAAGGTGGGGGTTCGTCTGAAGAGGGGCAAGATTCAAAGAAGCAGCAAGCACCAAAAAATGATCTAATCACATTCTGAGTGCTACTCATAGCAGTATTCCGTAATTTAGGACACTAGGCAAATGCCGGGCCATTGTAGGCATGGAACAGAAGTTTGGAATGAAAAACCCACGACAGGATTGCAGACTTTTCTTTCACATACCACCATTTGTTGTTCCTGCAAAATTATGTGTAAGTAATTCGTGTTTGGATTTGTTTACATAATTATTTGATTGAGTATGCATGTGAGGATTGTTACCAGCAAAAATAAATCTGTATGGCTCTTGTATACGTGGAGTAATGACATGACATCTCAACCAACTTATCTAAAAAGCTCGACTTTTATTCGATTTTACTCAAAAAATCAATAATGTAAACCACACTAAACATTAACAATTACAGAAAATGTCAAAACTTAAAATAAAAATGAATTTTTTTTTTTTATTTATGCTGCAATTTTAATTACAATACGATATAAAAATTACACAAACAAAAAATATATATGTTTAAAATTTTTAGCAAAAGTCGTATAAATTTGATAAAAATAAAAACAAAAAATATATATGTTTTATATTTAATGAATTGATACAAATTATTACATGATAATTTTTATATTTTATAAATATTTAATATAAAATAAATACTATATAAATAAACATATGATCGGATCTAATACCAAATGCATTAATTAGATCTAATCCAACATTATCCGATTCAATATTGGCCTAAGATCCTATCCGACTTTAAACTTAATTCGATTCATCAATAGCATTGGATAAGGTTAACAGTTTAACCTGTTTTCAACGGATTTTAATCCGATCCAATTTCATAAAATCAATATTTTTTTTAAAAATCAAATTTCATATAAAATCAAATTAAATATTATTAAAAAAAAATCAGAGTCGAATCGAGTATGAATTTTAGGCAAACCTTATCTTATATTATATAAAAGAAAATTTTAATTATTTTTTTAATTTTTTTATTTATATATAATTATATATTTATATTTAAAAAAATATTTTATAATTTCAAATTAAATCGAATCAATTATGATTTATATAATATGGATAAAATTTACGTATAAAAAAAATTTTAAATCAAATCAAATTCAGATTTTATGAAAATAAAATTGAATCAGGTACGAAACAAATAAAAATTCGTCCTAATCCGAGCCATTGTCAACCCTTGAACCTCTAGCGCGTGTTGCACACTCTCCAACCATGCATTACTATCCTCACTCTCACTTCTCTGATAACTAAAACCTTGTAAAGATTTGCGAGCAAAGCAAATCCAATTGTCCTTAACAAGATCCAAATCCTAAATCCTCCTCTTCTTCAACCTCACTCTCCTCGCTCTCTCTTTCTTCTTCTTCCTATCTTCTCCCTCCGATCCTGCCCTCTCCTCCATCCCTCCCTACCCGCACCCTCCGATTCGACTCGAAACATCCTCGAATATTTTCTCACTCAGAAAGCTACCAACCACCGCGACTCGGACGATACGATGCGTACGGTGATCGAGTTCACCAAGGAAATCGAGTGGCTCCACGACGAGATTGGTACTACCCCCTTAATTTGCCGATTAGGGTTTACGTGTACGAAATGCTGACTTGACTTTTACTGGTAGATAAAAAGCCAGCTTGAATCTTTTTCGCCTCAATCCATAAATTTCTTATAATTAAAGGACGACTCGGAGAGTTTTTTTCTCAATGACTGTGCCCATTTATTTTATGTTTATTACGAAAGTATAACAATATTTTTATATTAATATTTTAATTCTTTAAAATATATTTTATATTAAAAATTAAATAAAAATATTTATTAATATAATATAATAAAAAATTTAAAATATAAAAGTATTTTGACAAAGTGATGATTTTTCCTTTCATAAAAAATATTAAATTTTTATATTTAATTTATAGAATCTTAAATTATGTAATAAAATTTTTTTATTATAATATTTTTTATTACGTGTCAAGGTTATGTTTTTGACAATCTTTGATAAAAAAAAATATAATCAAATATAAAATCAAAAATTATGTTTTTATTATACAATAAATTAAAGATTATTATTATTTTTTTATATAAATGCAATGTTTATAACAAATATTATATTTTTATAAAAATAAATGCAATGTTTAATAATAATTAACAACTAAATTTTGAAATAAAATTCTACATTTAATTAAAAAAGATATTTTCGAAAGGGGAAGCGTAATTTTTAATTTTAACCAAAGATTAAATTTATTATATTATAAATGCAATCTTTGATTTGAATTTATGTTGCATAGCCTTTCAACACAGATATTTCCCAGAGGATGGTGCTTATCGCTGTTATCCAAAATGGGGATTGCTTAATGGTCATCGTTACTCTAGTTCAAATGGAACCCTCTACTTGAAACTCCCAAAATCATTCCCCTACAACAAATCTGTCGAAGAATTCAAATTAAATTGTTCCAGCAAGCAGACAAAACGGCTAGAAAGAGGTTATCATAAGAGAACTGGATATGGATCATTAAGGACTCTGATTTGATGCGCTTCAACAATTGGATTGCTTTGAGATGATCTGCATCTTTCTGGTGATCAGTTTCTCGTACAAAATAGGGAAAAGTTCTGATGCAACGACACGAGGCTACCTTGTTGCTGCAACTGGGTTCAAAAAATTCATTTATGATGAGTTGAAAAAGGTAACACGAGGTTTCAGTGAAGAAATTGAACGAGGAGGAGTGGGGTGGTTTAAAAGGGAATTTTGTCTGATCAACGAATTGCAGCAATTAAGCGACTTAATATTAAAGGTAATCAAGGGGAGGAGGAATTTCTTGTAGAAGTAAGCACAATAGGTAGGCTTTCGTCTGGCATTCTTGCAAGATTATTATGTTATTTTTTATTCGATATCAATCGCATTTTAAAATAAAAAAACGTGGTTTTTGATAAGAGATCAATCACGTTCTATTATTAAGAAATGTGATCCTTTTTATTTTTTAAAAGTTACATTTCTTGCGTAAAAAATATAATTTTTTTTCAATACTATTTTTTATGTTAAAAACATAATTTTTATTATTAAACATTATGTTTTTGACATAAAACCGAAGTGAAAATATCATAAATACTATTTTATAATGTTATATTAATTTTGAAGATAAGATTGTAATTGATATGAAAAAATATATTTTATTTTGTTATTATTTTAATTGATATATTGTGTTTCATATATAAAACACATTGTGTTTTCTTTTTTTAAAAAATTCATACGATAATGGATCTCTATTTATTATGTAATTACGTTGATTATTAAAAATAAAATAAATTAAAAAAATTTATTATTGATGTAAATTATAAGACAAAATTATTTTTTTTTTAAATCTAAAAAAATCATAAGTGTAGACACCGGTTTTGTTCGAGTCTACCGTTTTATTTTTTTATAATAATAATATTTAACAAAACAAAACAAACAAAAAAACAAACAAAAAAACAAAACGAAAATAAGACATAAGTCAAGGAGTTGGTACGACGTTGAACTGCCCCGACCAACTCCGCAACCAACTCCCTGTCAGCCACCCAAACAACTTCCCGACCAACCCAACCAACCCCCTGACCAGCTCTCTCAGCCTACTTACAGTCACCCTATAGCCACCTAGATTCTCCTAAATCGAAACCCTTTAAAATCCCTAACCATCTTTCTCATTAGGGGATCGGTCAGCTCTCGAAAAAAAAAAAATCCATTTTTAAACACACAGCTACCCTCCCTTAAAACACTCCCAAACACCCAAAATATCCAAACAGAAACCACACCAACTGAAAAAAAAAGAAACGCAAAAAAAAAAAAAACACAAAAACAGAAACAAAAACCAAAACGAAATCACAGTCCTCCCCGTAGGGAGGAACCTCAGCGCCGAGCCACCTGCATCAACAAAGAAAGGTACCAGTTAGCTTTCGACAAAAAAAAAAGTATACCGAAAACTTCAAAACCCGATCTACGCGAATCAAGGCCGTTTTTGGTGAAAAAGAGGCCAAATCTGCGCTCAGGAGGTCGAGAAGAGTTTGTGGGAGAATTTTGAGATTTTTCGACCACCGGAGACCGACGACCCAGGCGACGGCCGACGCGGTGGTCCGACGATCAGACGGTGGACGGCCAGACCTCTATCCCAGCTCTCTCTCTCTCTCTCTCCTTTTTTTTTCTGAAACAGAAACCAAATGAACCAAAAAAAAGCTTCAGATATATATAGTAAAGCTAAAACTCAAAACGACGTCGTTTAGGGAAAGACCCAAAACGACGTCATTTAGGGAAAGACCCAAAACGACGTCGTTTTAAACAAAGAGGATCCGCGCGTGGACCCGAATTCGATCCGAGATTCTTGTAAACCGACCCGTCAACCCGCTTCAGCCAACCTTGAACCAGTCCAGTGAACCGATCTGAACTGTCCAGACCAAACCGAACCGGTACCGAGCTGCTGAACCAACCAAATCGAGCCAAACCGTTGGACCAAACTGACATTGACCGGACCGTTGACCAGTTCGATTCAGGTAAAAAAAAATTTTTTTTTAAAATTTTTTTTTGAATTTTTATATATTATTTTATTAATATTTATGCATATTAAAATATCCATATTTGTTAGACTAATTGATGAAATTGTGGTTAATTTTTTTTTATGTAATTATGTTAATAAACTTAAAAAACAATAATATAAAAATAAATTTAATAATAATACTAAACTAATAAAAAATAAGAGAAAAGAAAATTTTTATCCGACGATGGGATTCAAAGGTATTCCGAGTAATGATGCCTATGAAATCTCTAAGTAAGAAGATTTTTTTTTTAAGTACTACCAGTGTATTGGAGTATTTATAAAAAAATTTTCAATACAATAAAGATTTTTTTAAAATAATAAATAAAAATTGATTAATAAATTAAAAATATAAGTAATAAAAATAGGAAGAAAAAAATTTAATCCAATGATGGGATTCTAAAAGTATTCTGAGTATAGATGCTTTAAGAAATCTTTAGGTGAGAAGATTTTTTTATAAAATATTACCAGCGTATTGGAATATTTATAAAAAATCTCCAATATAATTAAATTTTTTTCTTCAAAATTTTAATTAAAATTAAAATAATTAATAAAATTTTTAAATGAGAATAAAATATGTGCATAAACATGAAAATATTTTGCATGGCATGCATGATACATTTTCTTACGAAAAATAAATTCGAGCATCCAAAGATGAGATTCTAAAAGTATTCCGAGTAGAGATGCTTTAAGAAATCTCTAAGTGAGAAAGAATTCTTTTAATGTTACCAACGTACTGAAATATTTTAAGAATTATTTCAATAAAAAGGTTTTGATTTATTTTTCTCAAGAATATTTTTTTAATAAATAAAAAATCAAAGAATTTATTTTTCGAATACTGAAAATAAGACTGTTTGTATCAAAATCAAAGGATAACACGTTGTTAATTGGTACCGTTTTTTAACGGGCGTTGTGGGGGTGCTAATCCTTCCCCACGCGTAACCGACTCCTGAACCCAGACTGTTTCGCAGACCGTAAAATTATCTTTTTAATAAATTTTAATTAATTTTAAGATTTTATTAAAAGGATATGTTTTAATAGGTGACCAATCGCACCTAGTCAAAAAAAAAAATTGGTGGTGACTCCGTTATTTATTTTTTTTATTTCTAAATTCGTCGGACGGATATAAAACTATTACGACAATAAAAAAAAGTTAAATTTTTTAATTTTGAGATATTTAAATACTGTTAAAAATTTTAAATTATCCTAAAAAAATTAAATATCATGAATCAATATAAACTTAATTGGATTAGATCCATGGCCTCGTGAGTAGCCCAATTTATGAATACCTTGGAAAGGATATCCAATATCCATAACTAACTAAAAAAAAACCCTACAGAGAGTGGTTGACACGCGCCATAAGAAATGTGAATTGACATTCTTTGGAGGAATCCACATCCATTAAATGGAAGGTGACACAGAGGCGGTAGGTAAATCTCATCCCGCTCTTCTCGCTTTCAGATTTCAATGGCACTTCTGTAAATAAGGCCATAACCCAACGGCTGTTTTGGAAATCCAATATCAAACCTCAAACAATTACAAAAGGGCATTTTAGGAACCCAAAAGTACAAAGAAAACAGGAAACACAAAACACTTTTCCCAATAAAGAGCCAATCATAAAATTGGTATATCTGGGAGGAAACAACTTAGCAGCTTTTAGAGGCCGATGGAAATCGATTGCAATTGATATCTACGTTTACATTCGTAGAGGATTGACAGATCCTGAATGGCGTACATCAGATGACAACTAGCATAAGAGACGTCAACACGTTTGTACTTTGCGCAGCCACGCTTCAAGGTTTTACTAAACTACTATGCTTCGTCGTTGTACTCGGTTTCTTCTTCATTTTGTTAAAATTATTATTTTAATATTTTGAGAATAATTCATTGTATTTTTTATTTTTTTAATCTAATAATCATTTCTTACTATATTAAATCATAATTCTAAATCTATTCTTTCTTTTTTTCATATATAAATATTATATATTATATTTCGAGACAAGATCAATTTATACAATATAATTTTTTTAATTTTATATATTTTTCAATCTGTAATTTTAATAAATTTAAGAAATCAAAGAGATAAATAAAAATAAAAATAATTTAATTTTAGCTTTTAAATTTATTAAAATTAATAATTAAAAATATATAAAATTTAAAAAAAATTACACTATATAAATTGATTCTCCTCTTACATTATATATATATATAGCCCCTTAATAGAAGAATTTGTGACTTAGCCCTATTTACATCATCAAAGTCCATGTGAAGTTAGTGTTATTATGATTTGCAGCTGATAAAAATGGTTTCTCTAAGCAAATAATTAATCCCCAAAGATTTTATGTATTACTATTTGATTTCCCTTTGAATATGTAAACAAAGCATTTAAGCTCGAATAATTTGAGTTATTAAACAAGTTAAGTTTAAGTATTTTAATATTCAAATTAAATAATTTATAAATTTAATTGAATTTTTTATATTAATATATTTTTATTATTGTAATCAATAATTTATGGTTTTGTCTTTAATACTTTATAAAAAATATTAATTTAAATTCGAATACAAATAATTAAATTTAAAGTTGATCTAATTAAAGTAATTCAATTTTTATTTTGAATTAAACTCAAATTTAAAAAATAAAATTTAATCGAACTTAAATTAAATTTTAAAATTTTGAGTTTGAAATTGAATTTAAAATTTTTATTATATTATCTCGACTTAATTATACTTTTAATCTAAATCATATTAAGTAAATTTTTTGTGTAAAAAAAATTACAATCTAAAAATATAAAAATTTAAATTTAAAATTATTAAATTTTAATTTTAATTTTGAAAAATATTGTGATATATATAAATTTCACATTATACAAAAACTTTTTCATATAAATTTTTTCAAAAAAGGAAAAACTTTTACATTTTCCAAAATACCATCACTGCCCTTCAACCTATCTCCTCAATTTTGCTCTGAAATTCCCATAAAACCCCTACTTTTAATTTAATCCAACCAATCATTCTCCTTAATAACTAATGGGTATTTTCTTCTCCTTTTGGTCATAAGAAAGTAACCCACTTTTTCTCCGAATTGTCCAAATCCATCACTTAAACCCCAAATTCAAAAAAAAAAAAAAAAAGGAAAATTATAATGTGAGCTGGTCAAGGCAGTCTTTAATATTTTTAGTCGCCGGCGATCCAACTGAAGGCTAACTCATTGTTTCATAATCTGCTCACACGTTCTCCTCATCTTCACTTCACCACTCCTCCAAAAACCCCATTGCAAAGAAGCTTCTCTTTTTATTACAACAACACAAGTCAGCCAAAGCTATACCCAAAAATATGCTGTGTTTTTTTATTCTTTTATGACATTAAATAACTATAAAGTCCACAAATCGTGATGTCTTAGAGCTTGTAGTTTCTGCTTCTCACGACTTGGTCTCTATTTTCTTACAAGTTTTAAAAGACACAAGTTGGAGACCAACGAAAGAGAGGAACAAAGAAAACGAGGTTTTGAATAGTTCAGAATTTTAGAGGTTCTCAAATAAGGCTTTGTCAAGATTGGACAAAGACAGGGACCTAAACAAAATCCATTTAAAGACTTCGCGGTTGTTTTATAAATATAAGTAGAAAGAAATAGAAAGGTGAGGTTTTGTTATGTTGGTGTTGCTAATGCCGAGTCCAATATCTGTTTTTTGCTTTATTTTAAACATGATTTGATCTTTTCTTCCTTAAAGGTAAATTGGGTCTTTGTTTTCTTTGGGTCTCTTGTTTGGTTGATAGGAAAATGTGGGAGTAAGAGAGGGATAATATGAGGTTTTGGAAGAAGGGTATTTTCTGATTTGGGTTTTTAGAGGTGCCCTTTTGGCTATTTAGTGGTTTGCTGCTTGGATTTTTTGTGAGGATTGAAGTTCAGATTTTGAGGTATTGTAGTTTGTCTTTTTTTACTACCTTTTTTCTTTGATTTTCTATGTATAGATTTGGTGTTATACAGGAGATGTTTTCAGCTTTGTAGAAGAAAGCAAAGATTATTTTGTTTGGTTGCTAAGAGACTCTGGGAAACCGAGGAAAAGTTTTTGAATTGTCGTGTTTAGTAAAACGATGTGCTCAACTAAGTCCAGGGCTTGTTGCAGTTTCCTTTTCTTTGGCGACTAAAAATCTTGTTATACAGTTTAGGAACGATCTGTTGTTGTAAAGCAAGTTCTTCGGTTTTTATTTGCAGACGTTGACTTAATTTGAACTCAAAAGCATATGATTTATATATCTTTACTATCTATTGTTGAGATGTCCAATGTCCAAATCATGGGTGATTTTTTAGTTTGCTTTTCTGTTGACATTGGCAATCAAATAATGGATCAGATTGTAGTTTTAATGATTTATTTTACTATGATTGATTATCTATTGTGAAATATCTAGTAGCACTGCTAGTGACAATATCTTCTTGTATTATGGAAATTCAGGATCTCAGGATAATTCTCTGGTAAAATGGCATCGAATTTTAAAGGGAGCCGATCATCTTTGTCGATTTCCTCTGATGCAGCAGAGTCACATAAGCCTCCAATACCTCCAACTGTGACATTTGCGCGGAGAACTTCCTCAGGTCGTTATGTTAGCTATTCAAGGGATGATCTCGACAGTGAGCTTGGTAGTAGTGACTTCATGAACTATACAGTTCATATACCACCTACACCTGACAACCAACCCATGGACCCTTCCATTTCACAGAAGGTTGAAGAACAATACGTGTCGAATTCTCTTTTTACCGGTGGATTCAATAGTGTTACAAGAGCTCACCTTATGGACAAGGTGATTGAGTCTGAAGCAAACCATCCCCAGATGGCTGGTGCAAAAGGATCTTCTTGTGCAATTCCTGGGTGTGATGCAAAGGTGATGAGTGATGAACGTGGTGCAGATATTCTCCCATGCGAGTGTGATTTCAAAATTTGTCGGGATTGCTATATTGATGCAGTGAAAACAGGGGGTGGAATATGCCCTGGATGTAAGGAGCCATATAAGAACACAGATCTGGATGAAATAGCTGTGGATAATAATTCCAGGCCACTTCCACTTCCTCCACCTGGTACAATGTCCAAAATGGAAAGGCGGTTGTCTTTAATGAAGTCAACGAAGTCAGTGCTCATGAAGAGTCAAACTGGAGATTTTGATCACAATCGTTGGCTGTTTGAGACTAGAGGAACTTATGGTTATGGCAATGCTATATGGCCAAAAGATGGTAATCTGGGAAATGGAAATGATGATGAAGTTGCTGAGCCAACAGAATTGATGAGCAAACCATGGAGGCCACTTACTCGGAAACTAAAAATACCAGCAGCTGTTCTAAGCCCATATCGGTATACTCTCCCTTCTAGATCATCCCACATTTTATATTTCTTCTCTATGCTTTTAAATTTTACCATGAAAATTACTCTTTCGAAAATTTGAGCTTTAATTTTTCTGCATTTCTGTCCGAGCTAGGATGATAATGAGAAGTGCCCTGCAAAATGACATGCATATGCACAGTAGCTTAACATGATTGCACAATGTACCAATAAACCTAGGAAGGTGACAAATATGTTAATCCTGTCTTTCTTTCTTTTTAAAATAAATCTGCATATGATTGGGTTGGCAGGTTTATAAATTTTAACTTTTATGTAAATTTTTTATAGGACCTTTTATGTAATTATATCTTAAAAAAGGATATAAATTCTCTCAGAAGTGAATGTATATTGTTTATGGTATTTTTAGTTTCACTTTAAGTCTATTTCCTAAAATTTATTGTTATTAAATTGCTTATAAATTTTATAAAAAGAATCACTTATATATGCTTCAAAATTGCAACTTAAGAAATGTATTAGTAATATTCATTCACATACAACTTATGTGTAATCATGTAGTAGTCCTTAAAAAATCAGAATGGAGCCCAGGTAACTGGTAAACTTTTTAGACAGTATATACTAGCCTGCTCATCCTAGTTTTTCTTGAAAAGACATGGATCATTTCCGTTTCTACTTATGAGCTTTTCATTTCATTGTATGCATTCATGTCTTTGTTGTTGGTAAAATAATTAGTTTCATCATCACCTTAACTTTGCTTTCTGTGTCATGTATGTTTGCAGGCTTCTAATATTTTTGCGAATTGTTGTTCTTGCATTGTTTTTGGCTTGGAGGGTCAACCATCCAAACAACGATGCAATTTGGCTATGGGGAATGTCTGTGGTTTGTGAAATTTGGTTTGCTTTTTCATGGCTTCTTGACCAACTGCCCAAGCTCTGCCCAGTAAATCGTGCTACAGACCTTAATGTGTTGAAGGACAAATTTGAAACACCAGGCCCTAACAACCCTACTGGAAAATCTGACCTTCCAGGAATAGATGTCTTTGTCTCTACTGCAGATCCAGAGAAAGAACCACCTCTTGTCACTGCAAACACTATCTTGTCAATTCTAGCTGCAGATTACCCTGTTGAAAAACTTGCTTGTTATGTTTCTGACGATGGAGGAGCACTTTTAACATTTGAGGCCATGGCTGAAGCAGCAAGTTTTGCTAATATATGGGTTCCATTTTGCCGTAAACATGATATTGAACCCAGGAATCCAGAATCCTACTTCAATCTTAAGAGGGATCCTTACAAGAATAAAGTCAAACCAGATTTTGTCAAGGACCGTCGACGAGTTAAACGTGAGTATGATGAATTCAAGGTCCGTATCAATAGTTTGCCTGACTCCATCCGCCGTCGGTCTGATGCCTATCATGCAAGGGAGGAAATCAAGGCAATGAAGCTTCAAAGACAGAACAGGGAAGATGAACCTGTAGAGATTGTGAAGATACCGAAAGCAACATGGATGGCTGATGGAACTCATTGGCCAGGAACTTGGTTGAATCCTGCAACTGAGCACTCTCGGGGTGACCATGCTGGTATAATACAGGTATATTTTATCAGAAGATATTATTTTTCACATTTCAACTGGTGGATTGGTAATAATGAGTTTTAAGATTGAAAAAGTAAAGTCAAGACAAGCTGATAATGTGATGTTGACCATTCTTTTTTCATATCTTAAATTTTGATTTCACAGGTGATGTTGAAACCTCCCAGTGATGATCCATTACATGGAACTGCTGATGATAGGGCCATTGATCTCACTGATGTTGATATTCGTCTTCCATTGCTTGTTTATGTTTCTCGTGAGAAGCGCCCAGGCTATGATCACAACAAGAAGGCAGGTGCCATGAATGCCCTGGTTCGGGCATCTGCAATTATGTCCAATGGCCCATTCATCCTGAACCTTGACTGTGATCACTATATCTACAACTCTCAGGCAATGAGGGAAGGCATGTGCTTCATGATGGATCGAGGAGGTGACCGCATTTGTTATGTCCAGTTCCCTCAGAGGTTTGAGGGGATTGACCCTTCTGATCGATATGCCAATCACAATACTGTTTTCTTTGATGTGAATATGCGAGCCCTTGATGGTCTTATGGGCCCTGTCTATGTCGGAACTGGATGCCTCTTTAGAAGGATTGCCCTTTATGGATTTGATCCACCTCGATCAAAAGAACACCATCCTGGTTGCTGCAGTTGCTGCTTTTTTGGTCGTAACAAGAAGCATTCCTCAATGGCACACACCCCAGAGGAAAATCACTCTCTGAGAATGGGTGATTCTGATGATGAGGAGATGAACCTATCCCTGCTTCCTAAGAAGTTTGGGAACTCAACATTTCTCATTGATTCAATTCCAGTGGCAGAATTTCAAGGTCGTCCCCTTGCAGATCATCCAGCTGTGAAGAATGGCCGCTCACCTGGTGCCCTCACCATTCCTCGCGAACTTCTTGATGCTTCAACTGTTGCAGAGGCAATCAGTGTTATTTCATGCTGGTATGAGGACAAGACTGAGTGGGGACACCGTGTTGGGTGGATTTATGGGTCTGTTACTGAAGATGTAGTCACTGGTTATAGAATGCACAACAGAGGATGGAAATCAGTTTATTGTGTGACCAAGCGTGATGCTTTCCGTGGAACTGCTCCAATTAATCTCACTGATAGGCTTCACCAAGTCCTGCGTTGGGCAACTGGTTCTGTTGAAATTTTCTTTTCTCGTAACAATGCGCTCCTGGCCAGTCCAAGAATGAAGTTGTTGCAGAGGATTGCCTATCTTAATGTTGGAATCTATCCCTTCACCTCCATTTTCTTGATTGTCTACTGTTTCTTACCCGCACTTTCCCTATTCTCTGGCCAGTTCATTGTCCAGACCCTCAACGTCACTTTCCTTACTTACCTCCTCATCATTACAGTGACTCTTTGTTTGCTAGCTGTGCTGGAAATTAAGTGGTCTGGCATCGCGTTAGAAGAATGGTGGAGAAATGAGCAGTTTTGGTTGATTGGGGGGACAAGTGCGCATCTTGCTGCTGTGCTTCAGGGGTTGTTGAAAGTGATTGCTGGGATTGAGATTTCTTTCACCTTGACATCAAAATCAGCAGGAGATGATGTGGATGATGAGTTTGCTGATCTCTACATTGTCAAATGGACGTCCTTGATGATACCTCCAATCACGATCATGATGGTCAACTTAATAGCAATAGCAGTTGGGTTTAGCCGAACAATTTACAGTGTTATTCCGCAGTGGAGTCGTCTACTAGGTGGAGTTTTTTTCAGTTTCTGGGTTTTAGCTCATCTCTATCCTTTTGCTAAAGGGCTTATGGGAAGAAGAGGGAGGACACCTACCATTGTTTTTGTGTGGTCAGGTCTTATTTCCATCACCATATCCCTCCTTTGGGTGGCAATCAATCCCCCATCTGGTACTAACCAAATTGGAGGTTCATTCCAGTTCCCTTGATAGGACATTCTTTATGTTAAGGTGAATCAGTTCAATCGTATATTCCTTTATTTATTCTTTTTTTTTTTCGTACAAGCCGAATATATTGGTGAAAAAACTAGGTATGTTCTATATCATGTGCCCATCGGAATATACTTTAGGTTGGATGGGATCCGGTAAATAAACTGGTTACCCTGCTCTTTTGTCGTTACTGTATAATGTTTACATGGATTACTCAATAATGCCTCTCATTATTTCTTTTGTGGTTGATCATCTTTATGCTTAAAATCATTCTTTTTTGTAGCTTTGATTGAATGATGAACAAAACCAAAATCAACTGCTGTCCATTTAAAAAAAAAAAAAAAGCAAATCACTGTTGTAATATTTGTTCATTTTCCAGGCAGTTTTCCCACATTGTGAAAATCTAGACATGTCAAAGTAAATTTTTTCTCAGAGTTTCTCCTTCAAAACTAGTTACATAGCACAACTCACTGATTTTCAATGTGCACTACTTTAATCCTCGTTATGTATTAAATTTTTAGTCTGAGAGAGCCAATGTACCTACTACACATTCACTATTGATTGCCTTTCCATCTTTTTTACCAAATATAGCATTAATGTTACAACAGATTTTGACTCAAATAGTGAAAAGAGTTCTGCTCCTCTCTTGATTGTTCGAGTTTGAAGTCATTAAAAGGATGTCGAAAAGTAATATTTTATAAATTTATTAGATGACGGAAATAATTTATTTGGATCAATATTGAAAAATATAGCATTAATGTTTATGCTTATTCTTTTCCGGCATGTCTTTGAGATTTTAAAAAAATGTCAGGTTATTTGAACAACAAAGACTTGTAACATACAAGGTAACCCTACTCCAGCCCTTAGAAAACTCCTAATTAACACGCACCAAGTTTGAGGTCAGTGGTTGAGGCAGCACCAAAAGCATGTCCTGAAAACATGGATTCCTTGGATTAACCATGATCCCTTTATAACAACACCAGATAATCCCAAGAAAAATTTCCTCCGCTGATCACCACAGCATAACCAGCAAGCTGACGATGGCAACTTTCATAGTCACCTTGGTTGCTCTTCTCATGGCACTCTTCCGATCAACAATTTCTACAAACGTTCCTCCAAAGGATCAAGACCTCCGCTTCGCCATGGAAGAAATGCAGAAGGCTAACTACTTCACCTTTGTCATGCTGATCAACATGTCTCCCCTTAATCCAAACTTTCTCGGAAATGTCACTTTCTTGATGCCTACTGATCGGATGTTGTCGAAAACAATAATTCCACAAAATGCAGTTTCGAACTTCTTGCATCGCCATTCAATCCCCTCTCCTTTGCTTTTTGAGCATCTTCAACATATCCCAACAGGTTCGATTCTTCCCAGTTCAATTCCTGAGTACATGCTCAATATTTCAAATGGTGGTGGCAGGAGAAGTTTCTTCCTAAACAATGTCAGAATCATCACCCCGAATATATGCACTGCTGGATCCTCCATCCGGTGCCATGGCATTGATGGGGTGTTGAGGCCAGGAAGTAATATATCACCACCTACATGCTCTGACAGCGCAGCTTCTCCAGTGGCTTCACCACCATCACCCTCACCAGTTCCATTTCTTCCTTTCCTCGATGATTTTCCTGTCCCAGCCCCGCAACCAGCTGACAGCAGCCAACACAATTCAGGATCTTCCCAGTTCCTATCAGATAGAAAACTGCTGAAATTTATAGGGACTCTTTTGGTAGTTTTTATGAATGAATGTTTGATAAACTAGCTAGCAATCTTAGATTAAATGTTTGAAATTTTTAAATTAATTTTATTGTTTTCTTTTTCTTTTTCTCAATCCGAAACCAATTAATTTGTATATGCATGGTATCATGAAAAATGTACCAAAAATCAATACCTTATAGAAATAAACAATTTTTCCTTTAAGGAAAAAAGGGAAAATCTTTTTTCTTTTAAATTTTCAACAATCAAGCTTATTTTTAATTATTTTAATTTTTAAATATTCTTTTCTTGGCAAAGATATATTAGAAAACCATTCCATCAGGCTTGTGAAGCATCATCTAATTCAGACTTCGAATCTGACGAAGCTACTCAAATCTTTTTTTTTGGGTGCATACTCAAATTATTGGATATAACTTCTCCTCTTTTCTTTAGCACATAATTACCAAATGGATGAGTTGTTTTAGGAAGTAATTATTAGAGGTAATATGACGAATGATTTTAAATTATAGTAAAAATTTAATGTGATTATTAAATTTTAAAATTTTATAATGTGATATTTGATTTATAAATTTATTAATTAATATAATATTTTGAGAGTTTTTGTTTATTACAAGCTATCATTTGAAACTAATAACTTTAAGGATAAATAGTATATTAATTAATAAAATCATAATTCAGGTATAATAATAAAAATTTTTAAAATTTAAATTTCATAATAAATATTTTATTATAATTTATGGACTATTCATAACATTAACTCTTAAAATTAACAAAAAATGTGAAACCCATTGATTCTTTTTTACCTCTTTTAAAATTTATTTGTTAACATTTAAATTGGAAAGTAAAAAAGTAATTGAAATTCAAAATTTTTTTTTTATAAAGAGGGCTGTTATAGAAAAAAGGACTTGCATGAATGAGATTTAAATATTAAATTTATTGGATATTATTTTTAAATAACGATTGAATTAAACTTTGAATATAACAAAATTCAAACTTTCATTCTAAGCAAGTGTAGCAGTTCAAAAGCAGAGACAACCAAAATAAAATAGAAACTAAAAACCTACAAAGTAATTTAGATATTGAAATTCAAAACTAAAATTGTTTTAGTACTTTCCAAAATTAAGGCATATTATTATTAGGTGGGGGGCCGATGCATTAACGGGGGATAAATTTTTTTTGTTTTGCTATTCTTATTTATCATTTTTTTTTTTTAATTTTATCAAATCTTTTTAAAAAAAAGATAAAAGAAAAAAAATCAAATAGAAGTGAACATGAATACCTAAATTAACATTTTATTCTCATAAAATATAAATTATAAAAAGTATATTTTTTTATTTTTTATATATGAGACCCACTTAATATTAAGTTTTAAACAAAATATCGATGAATATTATATAAATATAAAATTAAATAAATAACAAAATATATACTTATATATATACACCATAAAGTGACTTGACGTAGAGAACTAAATCCGCTTTTAATCCATCTACTATTAAAAAAATCAGCTGGAATTGATTCAATATGAGTGCTTTTATGTGAAAGATAAAGTTTTTTAAATAAATTTGTGAAATTTATTACTAAAAATAAAAATCAAAACTAAGGATTTAAATTGTGATCGTGATAATAATTTTTATCGTATTATTTTATTATGATTGCGAATATAACGAAGATCATCACAATCACTATAATCATAAATTTTTTTATTTTGCATCACTTATTATAAAATGTAGTAATTATAATTATAATTATAAAAATTTTATTTTATTATTTTTATAATAGTTTGTGACATTTCATGTCTTTAATTTATTTGAAAAAATTGTATAATTTTTTTTCATATTATAATAAAATATTTATATTTAGTTTAACGACAAATCAAGTATGATATTCAATATTAACAAAGAAAAAATATGTTAAATATCAAGTATTCATATTTAATAATATTATAAATTTAGAAAATATATTTAATTACATTTTTTATGTATATAAGTGGACTATAATTTTTTTTTCAAAAATCTCTCTATTTAAATCATATTAATTTCTAAAATTTTTTAATTTTATACTTCCTTCTAATAGGATTTTCTCAAACAAAATTCCCATCCTATTCAAAATTATAAAATTTTCTCCTAAAATTTTTCCTTAAATTAAAAAAATTTCAACCAAAACAATAAAATTTTCCAATCTATGCGCCTTAAATAAAAAATCTCACTAAAACATTAAAAGCCCATTCCATTCCCCTCACTAGACCTTCATCTCAATCCCTACCAAGTCATCTTCAACACTGTCAGAGTTCACATGCTTTTCACCCTTCCTTTTCCCCCCTCATCCCTTTGGCTTTCAACCCCTCACAATCGCAGCATCATTGTATTCCACTCTTTCTCTTCCTTCTTTCTCAGTTCTCTACTTTTATTCTCTTTTCTATGCGTGGTCATCTCTCTCATCTTGCTTCAGAAACAAACCAATAAATCCTTATCAGATTAGAGTATACCGACACCCAACAAGAAGCATAAGCAGCCTCCTCTTCCTCCTTCCACTAATCGACAATTTTACCTCCAGGCAACCTACCAACCCGTGCCCTTTAGTAGCAAAATCACATAGATGGCTGCTAGACAGATTAGGGATTTTCAAGAGAAATAGAATTTAAAAATATGGTAATTTAAAGTTTTATATAGTTGTTTGGCTTCAAAATTCAAATCAATTACTTGTATTGTGTTGTTTGATGTTGATGATTGAGAGTGAAATTCTGAATTTAAGTGTGTGAATTGAGTTAGGGTTTTTTTTTTTTTTGGCCTTAATTTTGGAAAAAAAATTTTGGATAGAAAATATAGTAGCAAGAATAATTATGCAGTAAGTCATTTTGCAACGGCTATTGTTGGGTTGAGGTTCTTCTTCAATTTTTTTTAATAACAGTGATAGATGATAGTGTTATCGTGAAATATCTGATGCTATACCATTACGCCATTGTTATTTAAAACTTTAATCAAAACTCATAAATTAAATTATCTCGTAATATAAATTGTGTCAAATTTAATATTTTTAGATAAATATTTTTAATAAAAATATTAATGAAGTTTTTAATGTTAACAAATGTTAACAACATTTTTAATAATTTTTTTACATATTATTTATTTTCATACTGAATTTTATCAACTTATTGATTTAAATTTTTTATTAAAATTTTTATTAGATCATTTAAAAAAAAAACTTTATAAATTTCAATTAAAGAATTGCATATAAGTTTTGTCTCACCTCTATTAACATAATTTTTTATTTACAAAAATAATCTAATTTAAAAAACAATAAATGAAAAAAAAAGAAAAACAAAAAAATTTCAAAACAAAAAAAGAGATAAAAAATGCTTACTATTGGATTGAATTAGATTGAAACTTAATAGATACGAATTATTTTATTTATCGACTTATTTTGTTGCTAAATTTATATAATTAAAAAAACAAAACAATGAAATGGAAACAAAAAATCAAGATGCCCGTGGATACTAGATTGACTCATGGGTCAATTTGGATTGGGTTCAGGTTGAGTTTAATATGATATTCTAGCATTTTAAGCAAGTTCAAGTTTGGTTCGACTTGAATTTTTAGTTTTCATTTTTTGCTTAAGCCCATTCTTACATATGATAATAAAGTTTAAATTTACCCAAAACATTGATATTTAAAATTAAGCGAAAGAGTTTTTTTTTTTTATTTTTGTTGTAAATTATTAATTTAACTATTTTAATTAATTTTAATTGAATTTATAAGTCATTTAAACTTTAGTCCAATTTTAATTTTATTGAATGTAATTTAAAATTAAATCATTGTTTTGTATATAAAATTTTTTTTATCATATTATAAATAATAAAACAAATGTCTTGTCCATTATAAAAAATAAAGTAAATAAGTTTTATCTCATTATGATAAAAATATTTTTTAATTTTTGAATCAGGCCAAGCTGAGCATGCATCTTAAATAGTAAAACCCAAGCTCGATCTTATTTTTAGTTGAGCTTTATTTATTTGTTTAAATTTATTTAACGAGTTTAATATTCATATCAAAACCCTTCAAAATTTCAGATGAACTTTTGGATTCAGATGGGTCGTCTAATCCATGAATAGGTCTAGTGGACACGTTAATTAGTTTTTTAAAACAAATTTATCAAACTAAAAACAAAAAATTGTAAAAAGTACAAAGTTAAAAAAAAGAAAAAGCAAAACAAACATAATTTATATAATGAATGAATAAATGCATGAATTGCATCTTAATTATTTATAACTATAGTATTTTATTCCTAAAAAGGTCAAAACAAAAAATCTTGGTGTAAAGTGAGTCCCACTTTTAAAAAATAATTTCTATTAAAAATTTTATTAAATATAAAAAATTTTGGTAAAAAATAAGGAAAAATAAAAATTTTAAAAACCAAAAAAATAAAAATAAAGGAGTGCCATGTGACACCCTTTTAGTAATGTAGAAATAAAAAAAAAAGTTAAAAAATAACAATTTTGTATAAAGTGAATCTCACTTTTAAAAAATAAAATCTATAAAATATATTTATTACATATAAAAAATAAAAAACAATAAAAAAAAAAGAGTGCCACGTGACACCCAATTGTTCATGCACTTCTCATTTGTGCATTATCAAAATTTAATCTTTAGATATGTTCATTTTTCCTCTTTTTTCGACAAAATGAAAAGAAAATGTCATTCTCTCTTTTCCCATCTCTCTCTCTCTCTCTCTCTCTCTCTCTCTCTATATATATATATATATATATATATATATATATATTTATGTGAAAGAGAGATCAACTTATGCTATTTAAATTTTTTTAGTTTTATGCATTTTTTAATCATTAATTCAATAAATCTAAAAAATAAAATTAAATAATTTTTTTATATTTTTATTTGTTTCGCTAATATCTTGGATCTATTTAAATCAAAAGTTAAAAAAATGTAAAGCTAAAAAAATTTTATGCTATGCCAGCTAATATTTTCTTTTATATATATATAAAATTGAAACTATCATAATTTAAATTTTGATCATTAAAATTAAAATTTTAATATTTTATTATTATCACATAATTAAAATTAAAAATATAATACTCAACCATGCAATTATAAGAAAATTTGTTTATTGTCTTGTGATCGACTTGATCAAAATACCATCCGAAAAAGTCAAA